CTGGATGAACAGGAAGAATGGATGCATTGATAATTATTTCTGACTTGAATTGTTTTTGTGGGGTTTGCACCACCAGGGATGCGGTCCATCAACACGTGATGCTTTTTTGACCTTTACATTAAACTTTCCATTGATTCCAGCGCAGCGATTTAGACACAATGATTGTTAAAATCAGACCCGTCAGACCTGCTGCTCCCTTTGCAGAGGAAAAAAACATGACATGCAGACACAAACAAACTGAAAACAAAAGAGCGCTCATGCGTGCTGCTGGATTAACAACAGCGATGACACAGTTCCAGATAACATCACATGATCAGCCTGAAACGATGAAGAAACAACAAACACCTGCACCGAGTGTGGAGCGCACACAGTTTTTAATCAGACACTAAGAAAAAAAGCACAGAGTACCATCCATCCATCCCTCTTCACTAATTTACAGTCACATGAAATATTTTAATGTGATTCACATTCAGCACAAAGCACTTCTACAACATTTTGGGGTGTAACTGTCACCAACCCATCATCAGCGCTGAAATACATGAGAAAAACAAAAAAAAGCCAATAGCTGAGTCACACAGGTGTACATGTTCTGAGCAGCACTTCCCATTTGGGTTCATGGACGGATATTTCACTGCATGTTTCTGCTGTTCTCTCCGTTCTCTGCTTGTTTCCATCACCCAGAGGCTTAAAGGATAAACATGTGACACAGAGGAGATTCTGAGTGTTTTCATCTTAAGTTTAATGATGAGAAATGTATTGTTGGGTTTGGTCAGCAAACAACCGAAACTTGTCCCTCAGCTGTAATCTTAAATTCCTTCAGAGCTTACAGTGTGCAGCTCTGTGGACTCACACTTGACAACATTCATGTGCATTTACATTATTTATGTTCACACTGCTGCTTTTCACACTTTTAGACCTGAACAACAAAATTCTGGACTCTGCAGTTTCATGAAAATGCTGTTTACTGATAGATGAAGGAGTTAAACACTGTAGAGGCCACTTCAAACTTCAGCCTTCTTCTTGTAGAATTTGGGAAGTTAAGTTTGTCGAGGTTGATGAAAACCGTTCATTACATAGTTCATAAGTTGTTCTAAATGTTGAGCTCAGTGTTGTTTGAGTTGGATTTCCAGAAATGATTGGGCTTTGTGGTGTAAAGATGGTGGCACCATATTTAGTCACATTGCCGGTGTTCTGACGAAACGTCCTACTTTGTCAAAACATCCTACTGTAGTGTAAATTTATATTCATGTCTATCAATCCGTGCTACCTTATCAGAATATACCACCTTACATGGTTTATGCCTCCATCGTACGATGGACGTTCTGATGGCCAAATCAGCTGTCAAAACATGCTCCCTGCTTGTATTTACTTAGGTAGGATATGGTTTACACCGTATGCCAGTTTACAGAAGTTTAGAAGTACTAAATCGAGACTTGAAATACGACTTCAATTGAGACTCCAAGTTGGAGTATTTTTGCACAAAAAAACAAAACACATGTTAGTAAAACGTAATACTAACCCTTTTTCGCACGCACGAGATCAAGGTAGGATCCAATAATAGACGTGTACTATTAACACTGAAAACATGGGCGTTTTGAGTTGTGTGCATGCACAGTAACAACTAGGACAGCTTGACAGGTAGAGTGTTTTTCAGAACACCGATCACCTGAAACTAGCACGAGTGACTGTAAGTTCATTTTCAGACATGTGCCAGATTCACCTGAGACATGAAAAGTCATTTCTGTAGACGGTCTCCTCTGGAGGATTACTGACACGACAGATGTCTACATTAAAAACTGTCATGTTTTCTGTACAGTTGTTTTTCTTTCTAATCACTTCATGAAATGAAAGCAGGCTGTGAAGTTGTGTCACTCTGTGACCTGATTTAAGACCAGTGCTGTTTAACATGTGCGTTCATGCCAACG